AATACGTCCACCAAACGAGCCATGTATGTTTATGTATATGTGAGTGTTTGTGTGCTTAACGTGAGTTTAAGGGAGAAGGGGAGACAGAGATAGATAAGGGGAGTGAAAAGAGAGAAGAGTTGGGTTGGGAGGGAAAATAACCTAACAGAGGAGCTTCGGTATTTCAGTTCAAAATCGGTGTAGAACGAACCAGTTTTCTTGACCTCTTTGATTCAAATATAGATTTTGTTGAAGAAATTCTATTAATAATTCTTTGTATTTGGTTATTTAAAAGCGTAATAAAAAGGTTGAGTTTTGGATTGTGAAGGATGGTTCAGCTTCAGTTCCAGTTTTGTTTATGAATTTTGATATTGTGAATTTTATTGCAGTCATATTTTTTTTCTCAAAATCATCGTTAATCACTTATCTCACCTATCATTCATTTGTCAGACTCAAACGTCAAATCACATCACTCATTTTTATCACATATTTAATCATTTATATATTTTTTCCTAAAAATATTACACAACTCATTTATATCATTTATTTAATTATTTAATATTTAATTAATTTATAATTAATATATTTTTAAAAATTTTAATATAGTGGAATTGATTTTTTAGACGTTCAAATTTTATATTTTATCGTGTCTTAAAACACGAATTATGATTAAACACTTAAATTTTATATTTTATCGTGTGTTTAAGTTAGAATTATGGTTAATATATATAAGGCACTAACTTTAGTGTCATATGCAAAACTAAATTCAATGAAATCGGCTACAAATGTGTACTGTGTTGTGGGCCATATTTACCTGACCAATTGACAAGTCCTGCTGCGCCGTTTGTGGCTAATTTGAAGGCCCACAATCATTTCAAATTTATGAAATTATGTCACTGAGAAACACACTGTGGTACCCAACCTAGTCACTATCACATCAAAAAATCTTTAATTTTTAAAAGTTTAATTATAACTATATTAAATATATTTAATTTTAAAATAATGCAAAATTATAACTAATTAGGAATATTCATAATTGATTATAATATTTTATAATTGATTATGAATTATGTCGAATAATTATAAATTTACTTATTAAATATGTAATTAAAATTCAAAAATAATATTTACCAACTTTTTTTAAAAAATAATTTTTTAATACAATATTGAATATTTTTTATTGGTACCACATAAGTACACCTATATCACATGGCGCCATCAATAATGGTCTCACCTATATGCATGCTTTAGCTAAGAATTTGCTAAGGCACATCTATATTGTTTGTGAAGTTTTGAACAAAAGCCACGAGAGTCCGAGACAGTTCAAGTGATAATAAAGATAATTTATAAATTTAGATGTTTTATATTTGAATTTTGAAAATTTTTTAAATTTTGATCATGAAGAATTTATTTATTATAAATATTTTAAACCCGACATGAATGATCTATCTTTAATCGAACTCAAAAAGAGATTAAAGGTAGAAATTAACTAATTAAAGTTGATTGATTGACAAAATATGAATTCAATAATAACACAATTTATTAATATAAATAATAAACGACTTAATTTAGTGTGAAATCAATATAACTTGATTTTAATTCTTGTTTAAATTGTATTATACTAAAAAGTGTCTAAAAATTGTTTTTATTCCTTTTAATTTCTTGATATTGTAGAAATTCTTATGGAATTACTTAATTTTGAGTTGCTTATATGTCATACATTAACTCAAGACAATATTAGCAAAAACATATTTTTGTACAAGTTGTAAAAATTTGGGAGCATGAAGTACTTGGGATTTCAAGTTTGGGTCCTCAATGTACTTGATGCACATGATTTGCATTATATTAAGTGCATCATAAAATTTATGTTGAACCAAATAATTCTAGGATGCAAAAACAATTATGTAAGACACCCAATTAAATTAAGAGGAAGGCTACAATACCGAAATCGGTACCGTACCTAAATTTAGAAATTTTTTAAGGATTTTTTTCTCGGGAGGGGGAGGGGAAGGGGGAAGCAGAAAGGGGGTTTGAACCCTTGATTTTAAGAAGAGAAAACTTTCATAAAGGAAAGAGTATCATTAGATCAAATTTTTAAGGTAAAAGTTATAATTGAAAAAATTGATGGAAGTTACACTATCCCTTTTTTTTTTTTTGATAAACGAAAAAAGGGTGGAAATAAGGGAGAGCGTCTAAATACCACTTTCGACAGGCCCCCACTAGTGTGATTATAAGGCCCCTTACCGCGTCTGTTACTCCTCTTGGAAACAAATCTAGCTAGGCTAGCATAGCAGTCAACTATCGACCTCCAATGTGAACTCAAACTTTCAATCTCAAGGTGAGAAGTTTGGTCAGTACCCCACTGAACCACTCCACTCAGTGGTGAAAGTTACACTATCTGATAAAGTTATTAACCTAAAACGTAACTCAAGTGGTAATAATGATGAGTTCAAATCTGAGTTCGAATTTTTACAATCTCTTGAGGTTATGCCATGAAAAATTTATCTTTCATGAATATCTAAATCTTGATATGGATGACTTGCAACTAACCGGACAAAGAGGAAGATTAGTCGAGATGCGCGTAAACTGACACGAACACTCCTAACAATTAAATTTTAAAAAAAATATGTAAAATTATTACTTTTTCAAATCAAATTACACTTTTAAAAGTGAAATCACAACTTATAATAAAGTATTCAAGATCAATGGTGAAGTTACCACAAAGAGTAATTTCATCTTTAAAATGTATACCTTGACTTCAAAAAATAGTAATTTTCGATACGATACTGAAATTATTTTGAGTACCGTAAAATTATCCTTAAATTAAACTCCAAAACCAACCAAACTCTGCTCATTAGAATATTTTTAGAATCATAATCAATAGATTATTTGGTTGGAGCTCTAATCCTAGTCATGGATTCAAATCAAAACATAACATAATTTGACCTGATCTGATTTCATGTATTAAAATCAGACAATTATGATGCTTCTGAGAAACCTAGACTAACAAATGGTGTCCCCCACCAAGGAATCATTGTGCATTACTTTAATTTTATTATTTTGGGTCTGCTTAATGTTCACTGCCCACCTTTTAAAATTAAATAAGTTATTCTTTTTTTTATTAGTTAATTAATTATCATTTAGTTGTTGCCAGTTTGCCTTACAGGATCACAGATTCTTAGTACCCAACCATTAAGGTCCTTGATCAAGAAGTCAAACAATAGTCAATAATGTCAATTTTTCCAATAACTTTGCTACTTTCAACAAATTTGAACACCAAATTTTGCGAATTAAATATATAATATAAAATATAATAGATTTCAATAAATTTATCCGATAATCTCAAAGAGAATAATGCTACGTTTGGTATAAAAGATGAAAAGTAAGAAAGATACATTTTTTATCCTTCAAATAAAGAAAGTAAGAATGATACGTTTTCCTTCTTTTGTGTTTGATTGGATGGATGTAAAATAAACTATATATTTTTTTTTGTGCTAGCTAAGATTAGGAGTGATAATCGAGTCATGTCGTGTTATGTCAGATTCGTGTTGATTCATTACGAATTTGTGTCAAATATTAATTAAACTTAACTCAACTCATTTTAACTAATTGTGTTGTGTCAAGTTACGAGTTGACCTGATTATTTTAGTGTCGTATTCGTGTTGATCTACATAAACTTTGAATAAAAAATTTAGCGTTAATATTCTATTTTTTTATTTTTTTAAAAAAATATGTATAAATACATATTTTATCATTATATTTTTATATGAAATTAATGTATACATAATGTATGTATATAGACAAATAAAATACATCTCAACATAAATAATTAAGTTTTCATCCATTTTTCTTCCTATTTTAGAGGGATTGATTTTAGTGAGTTGAAAGAAAAATTAATCTATCAACTTTTTCATTTTTTCTATTTTCCTTCCTTACCAAACATGATGCTTTATTTATCCTTCCAACTTTTTATTCTTTCATTTTTTTATCATATCAAACAGAGCATAATTTAATAGTTATCAATATTTTTATCAAAATCATTTACATTGTACTGTGTCTTCAGCGACGAATTATCTCTACAAATGTAATATACCCCCATGCGAGAACTTTGAGGGTCTAATGCATGGGTGCCAGGTTCATGAAAATTAAATTAGTCCCAAAATTTTAATTGGACAAAAAGGAAAAACAAAAAAAAATCTGACAATTGTATGCTAAGTGGGAAAAAAAAATTGATACAGAATTTATTTGTTAATTTAATTATAAATCTAACAAATTTTTATAATAAGTTATTATTTAAATATATTCAAATACAATGTAGGCCTGTCAATTGTGGGTGAGACGGATTCATTTCAAGAAGTACTCTACTCATATTTCATTCGTTTGTTAATTCGTGTCTAATGATCTTTATCATATTGGATTCGTGTCATATATCTTTTTTTTTATCTATATTTTTTTTGGGGGAATGAGGAGGGAAAGAGACATGAACTCTTGATTTCAAGAAGTCAAAATCTTCATAAGATAAAGAGAACTGTTGGACCAAAGACCCATTGGTGATTCGTGTCTTATATAAATCATGTATATTTGGTATATAAATAAATCATGACGTATGTTTTTTTTGATGGACTTCACTTATATTTAATTGGTTTATTAATTATTTCATGTTGGATCCACTTGCATCGCATACGAAACACAAGTCTTAAAAAAGGCTTAAACTTCCTATTTTTATATCATGTGTATATCGTATTAACAAATCATGTCATATTTTGACCCCTTTAATACACGTCATGAATTATAGTTTTTTTTTAATTAAAATCAAATCCCTCTTTCGGTGTCGTCTGTTCACCCTCTATATGTAGATCATCTCTATCTTTCTTTTCCCGCGCTTTAAACCCAGCTTTACCCACCTCCATCTACGGCTGCAACCTCAGAGTCAAAGGACTGCCACTACTTTTCTATTTTGTATGTTTTCTTTTCCTCCAAACACTTTCATAACCACCCTTTTTCTCTCTCTCTCTCTCTCTCTAAAACCCTCCTATTTTCTTCTTCAGCCTCTTCCACATTTTTCCCCTAAATTTCCATCTTCAAATCAAATGGATTCAATCAAACTCTCTTCAGCCCCAACCAAAAGCAGACTAGCAAAAACATTCCAGAAAGTAATCAACCTCAAAAAAGCCACAAAACCCCTCTCAAACAATGGATTTTGCTTGCAAATTCCTCAAGAAAAACTCAAACTTTGTGGTCCAAATCAACATTTCAACAAAGAAGACACTGATGAAGTCAAGTCAAAGAACAAAGCTGCCATGGAAGCCTTCGTTTCCAAGCTCTTTGCCTCTGTTTCTGCAGTTAAAGCAGCTTATGCTGAGCTTCAAATGGCTCAGTTTCCGTACAATGTGGATTCTGTACAGTCCTCAGACAAAGCAGTAGTTGATGAACTTAAAGCACTTTCAGAGCTAAAGAACAGTTTCTTGAAGAAACAGATCGATTCTTCACCACCCTATTTGACAATTTTACTCGCAGAAATCCAAGAACAACAGAGTCTCATGAAGACATACGAGATCACCATGAAGAAATTGCAGTCTGAGGTTGAAAAAAGAGAGTCTGAAATTACTTCACTAAAGGTAGAACTGAATGAGACCAGTCTGAACAACAAGTCCCTCGAAAAGAAACTCAATGCAAGTGGTTGTTTCTCTGTTCTTGATAATGTTAAGCTCTCCGATTCAAATCCAAAAGATTTTACGATGGTTTTGAATTATGGGTTGAGATCTATAAGGAACTTTGCAAAGCTTTTGATCAGAGAAATGGTGTCTGCGAACTGGGATATCGAAGCTGCTTCAAATGCCATAGAGCCTGGAGTTATATTCAAGAACACAAATCACAGAGGTTTCGCTTTTGAATCATTTGTGTGCAAAGAAATGTTTGATGGGTTCAACAAACCCAATTTCTCTGTCCTAAACGAGGCTTTAACAGATGATAATTTGAGTCGATTTTTCTTCTTTGATCAGTTCAAGATGTTAAAATCAGTGGGTACAATTCATTTTCTCAAGAAAAATACAAATTCTTTGTTTGGGAAGTTCTTGAAGACCAAGTATCTCCTTTTGGTTCACCCGAAAATGGAGACTTCATTTTCCGGGAATCTGAATCAGCGAAAGAAAATTAATTCTGGGGAGTATCCAGAAACGGAGTTTTTCAAAGCATTTGCTGAAATGGCGAGAAGGGTTTGGCTTTTACACTGTTTGGCGTTCTCTTTTGATCAAGAAGTCAGCATTTTTCAAGCGAAAAAGAGATCAACATTTTCTGAAGTATATATGGACAGTGTGGACAACGATGTTTTTCCGGTGGCTGACAGCGATTTTGTGGTGGGGTTCACGGTGGTTCCGGGCTTCAAGATTGGCAAAACGGTGATACAAAGTCAGGTCTATTTATCTCCGGCGGTTGCCCCGTCGACGTGATACTGTTTTTTAAGTGATGGGTAATCCCCACGCGCTTAGGCACGCGCCACCGGTGAAAGGGTGGAGCCAAACTGGGAAAATTGGAATGAAGGGTAATGAGTTAGGTAATGAGTTAACTATCTATTTACTCCAATTATACTATTTGTGTAAATCAAGTCCTCCTATTACGCGCTATATCAATTTAGTCCTTAAATATAGTCATTATGTTTAAATTCGTAGTTAAGATTAACAGAAGTGCACATCAGGTGATTTTTAAACTATTATCCAATCCTCGACTCGTGTGATACGTGCCTGATGATTTCTGTTAAAATTAACTCCGAATTTAAGTAGAAAAATCACATCAACACAAATGGTATATTTTAGGTGCTAAATTGACATAAAATATATTTTATGTACTTCATTGACACAAAAAGTATAATTTGCAGGCCAAATAGATAATTAACTCGGGGGTAATTTAAGCTTTGACCTAAAAAGGTGTAGGTGGCTGGTGCAAAGGTGGCAGGCGCGGCGGCGCGTGGGTGTATTCTACCATTGTGCATGTTATCTAGTTGTTATGTTATACATAGTACAAGAACAGGAGTTTACATAAGTGGCATTTGGACCCACACGTGAAACTGGGAAAGTGGTTCAGGGAGGATATGAACTGGATTTTGGAGTTTAGTTGGAGATAGAGAGAGAGAGAGGACAGGGAGGGAGAGGCGGTGCTAAAGGCCACATATGGGGGTTCAGGTTGTGGGGCCCAAGAGTCGTCTGTCTTTATTCCATAGTTAGATGTATTGGAATGGTATTAATTTCGGTTTCAGACCTAAGTTTCCAACTTCAGTTAGTAGAGATGTCAGGATGTATACAGTAGTATCTGCTAAAGCTTAAACTTTTGTACGTACATTTAGGGCTCGTTTGGAGTATTAAAAATAGATAGATTAGATAAAATAATACAGTTTAATACAATACAGATGAATTAAAGACAAGATTAAATATATTATTAAAATAATACGTAATTTCATCTAGTATTTGACAATACACAATATAACGTTGAATAGTAATTATTTAATCTAATCGGTTGTTTGGTTAAAAAATTATTTTATTGTATTAATATTAAATTAACAAAAATATCTTCAATTAGTGTTTTTTACATTGATGATAACTTGAATTTATTATTTGGGGATTATAATAGTAAATGTGTAGAATAATACGTTTGAATTGAATTATAAAATCATCTCTTTTAATGGTATTAAAAAATCTTTTTAATACAAGTCTATCGTATAAAAAATATACGATAAATATATATTTTTGAAATTAAAATGGTATTAAATTTACTTATCAAACAAAGTATTATGTCCGATTAAATAAAAAATAATATAATATAATATTTTAACCCCTTATAATACGTCTACTAAACGAGTCTACAGATTCTTATTTTTATATGTATTAGAATAATATTTTATGATAATTTAAACGTTATGAGTTTTAATCACCATCCATACGTGAAATAAGACGTATGCGTCTAATCTTACACAGGTTCTCCAATGATAGAAATCTAAGAAAGGGACACGGGATTTGAAATTCAGACATAATTGCTTGAAAATTGGAAAAAAAAAAATTATTGACTATACTGTAACCACTGATTTGTCATGGACTATTTGATGTCTCCATCTTTAAAAGGCACCATATGGTGGAGTAGGGGATGTCACCCATTACTAAGTTTTCTAGCAATAGAATAATCAAACTATTTAATTGTGATCTATCATGTATGGGCATGTTTGTTTGACGTATAAAATTTAGATGGTATAAAATTTTATATTCATTTCACTTTGATCCAATGATATATTATATTTGATCTTAAACTATAATTTTATCATTTTCCTTATTTATTTGTCACAAATATTATGTGTAATACCTACTTAAAAAAGTTAAAAATTACAACTACTCAATGTAAAAAGACAATTATAACCTTATAATCTTATATGGGACATTGTACATGAGGGCATTTGGGCCTTTTTACTCTATTATACCTCCATAAAATTTATACTGAGAATATTCTACCACCGGGTAAGTGGTATTGCTTAGTACCGTAAATAAGACATAAGAGTTACTGTACACACCGGGTCAGTGCTATGACCCGGAAATTAATACAGAGTAAAAAATATTAAACAAACAAGATATGGTAGGCCAACGTACTAATTTCCTTATACTATCCTTATACCTCAAACAAACGGTCCCTATGAGTAGTGGATAGGTAGAAATTATAAGTGGGTCATTAAAACTATACTTGTTCTATCGAGGGTGTTTCATTGGGTATATCAATTGCTCTCATAAGCATGACAGTGGCTCGGTATTCTTGCTATAAAACTTCTAAAACATCGGTGTTGAACTCACCCCATGTGTGTAACGAGATATGTGTGCCTGTGATCGAATTCTGACTGTCCGATTCTGGCTAAATTTTGATTATGCATGTTCCTATGGAAGAGGAGATTATTAGGATGTCCTAGCCGATGAGCTTATGATTTGCAGCTAGTGGTATTTTAGGTAGCTTCCAATTTGGATTCCGAGGACAAAACACAAAACTGAAAAGAGGAGTCTCAAAAGGGAACAAAATGGTTCACGGGTTTGGTTTTAAGGCTGTTCTGGACATGTCTCAACTTGTTCAACTTCTACCAATAAAAAACACCTGACCAATATCCATATGTTTGGATACTTTTCACACCTCCTAAAGACCGACCACCCTTGTTCTTATAAGATATTGTCCTTAAACTATCTCAAATTACAATAACCGAATTAAAGCTCGAGAGAGTAGTTAAAACAAGTTTAGATAGCCTGTAATAAAAAAAAAAAAAACAATAACTTTATGCTTGTCAGTCAAATAATTGGTTGCAAGCATTTGCCATTTTTTTTTTGGTGGGTTCATAATTAATATTCAGGTAAAGGCTAAGCCCTTTTATTTTAATTTTTTTTTCAACGGTCAAAATTGTCTAAGTTAACTTATACGCACCTCGACTAATTTTCTCACCGATCCAGTCAAATGCAAGTCATCTCCCACTGAAACTAAGGTATTTATGAGAAATTTATTTCTCATAACTTAACACTAAAAAATTGTCAAAATTTAAAACTCACAATAGAGTAAACTTACCGTTTCATCAAGATCCGTGTTATGGACTTGTCCGGACAAAAAATGCCAACATTAATGCAAGAGGATCCTGAGCACTTTAGGCTTGAAAAAGTTTAGACAGGACTGTAAATGATTGAGGATCTCCAAACAAAAGCCACAACTCTCCAGACAAAGCGACAATTGTGCAAATATTTTTCTCTTGGGTCATGCATATAAAGGGTATCCCGAGGCTCCCGTCACTACAGGGTTTGAATATGGTAATTTACGCAACCTCAACTCTGCATTACATGTAAAATTATAGAGATGCTTCAAACTAACAAATCAAGGAGGTAAGCAGCATGAAACAAATGTACTGTTTCATGAAGTTTTTTAATTATTTTTTTTAGCTTTTCTTAGGCTGGTGTTTCAAAAGATGACATGCATTAGCTTCCTGATTTCACAAGGACGAACAAAATAGAGAACTCAAGGATAATTTCTATGGAATTTACAGATTCGATAAAGCAACATACTGAGAGGAGCAACAAGAAGTTATGAATTCCCAAACCAAAAAGAAAATAGAAAAATAACCTGTACAGATTCAATTTGAGACGGAACCGCCAGAAGGAATTAATGTGATTTGCATTAGGCAAGCCTTGGTGACCTTCCCATACATACATGCAGAATAAAAGGCCAGTAACAAATCCAGCATCTTAGACATTGCTCTCAGTTCAAAGGCAATCTTCCATGACTGGATCAAGAAGGTCCTTTCTTTCAATTGTCTGACCTGATGAATTCTAGTTATATATTACTTAAATCTCCCACACCAACCTGTGACCCTCCACTGTTTGCCTACTCTAAACTCCAGGCTGCTAATATTCTGAACCGCCATTTGAAGAAGGAAATTCAATGTCTCTTCGATTGTGCTCTTCTCAAACAGAACATTGGATGGCATCGCATTCTTCCCCTTTGGGGTGATGAAGAAGGAATAAGCTTAACCCATAAAAGAATGCCAACAAGTTATAACTTCAAGGGGAGCTTCCAGCTTCAAATTCTGCAGGGTCCGAGGCTACTGCAAGAGCTTCAAGCATGGTTATGACTTCATTTGTGTCGTCCAAATAATATTTTGCTTTACTTGGTTTCTGTCCAACCGTGCAAGCAAACACTGATGCATTAGAAGAGAGAATGCCACCGTTCATTGCACTGCCAATTATCTCGAACATGTCTTCATCAGATCTATCATCGCCGATACATAGCACAAAATCAGCTTGGTTTCCATTCTCGGCCATTGATGTGAAAATCTTCTCGGCAACTAGACCTTTACTGGCTCCCTATAATCACAATTAACATTAAACTCAAATATCTAATAGTCAAAAATCATATGATCATACACTTGTCAAGGAACAAACCATTCAACAACAATTGCAAGTGTGTTACCAGAATGAATTGCCGTTTGCTCGATTTAATAGAATTGTAAAGATTTTTAAAAGGTCATCTATAACATGGTCTAATTAGAGGTATTCCGTTAACTCTGTTCTGGCAGATTTGGAAGGAGAGATGCAGGAGGTGTTTTGAAGGAGTAAAAAGTCATCCTCTCATAGTAGCTAACAGAATTCTAGAGAACCTAAGGATACAAGCATATGTTCTGAAGCCGAAGTCGCCTGAGAGTGCACAGGATAAAGTGCTGCTCAATTCTTTGAGGATAAATCCTTGTTCCACTGTTACAGCTAGAACAAAATGGATAAAATGGTTATTGCCTCCAGAGATAATAATGAAGCTAAATGTGGATGGGGCTAGCAAAGGTAATCCAGGTCAGGCTGGTGGAGGAGTGATTCTGCGCAATCATGCTGGTGAATTAGTTTTGTCAGGTTTCTATTCCTATGGGCAGTGTACAAACATGGAGGCGGAATTAAGAGCTTTGCTGGATGGGCTGAAGATAATTGCTGATTATGGTTTAGAGGTATACCAAATTATGATTGAATCAGATTCAAGGATTTTAGTAGATATGATTTTAGAGAAGACTCCTTTCAATTGGAAACACTGGTATTTATCCCAACAGATTTCTTGCCTCCTTCAACGCATGGATTACCAAATCAGTCATGTATACCGAGAAGCTAAGTCAGTAGCCTATTTTTTGTCTAATAAAGGGGTTAGTGATGGAGTCTCAGCTCCCTACACTCACCTTAGGGATTTGAGTTTTCAAGTACGCCTTCTTCTCATGCAAGATTTGCGGCAAATCAAATATTTGAGGATAAAGTTCTCAACTTTCTAAATAAGGCTCTCCGGAGGCGATACTGCTCAAAGGATCCTTAGCAGGTGACTTTGAGGAGTTTTTTATCTTCTCCATATTTGAAAGTTACATGCATTTACAATGATTTTACTTTTTCATAATGTAACTAGCATGCATTGAAGGGTAAGGTGTTATGCCCCCCCTTATAGGATATAATTTAAATTTATATCCAATAAATTACCCTCATAATAGCGAGGTAACTATGAAGCACAAACACTATCAAGAAGGTGACGTATCTATGTCAAACACCGACATTCCTCGAACACGTGTCTAATACTCTTTTATCTGTGTTCATAATTACATGATAAAATCTTAATTTTGAACACGTGTCCGACACTTCTTTAATCTGTGTCTATTACTAAACTATAAACATGTGTTGACATATGATTAACAAGTTTAAAATTTTGATTATTAAGTGTCTTACACGATGAAAGAACATATAATTACCAACATAAGACATGTTAAAGTTGTACTAAAAATATAATAACAAAGCAAAAGATAAATAAAAGATTTAGGAAACAACAATTAAGATGAGAGCAATCATTTACAGTACACGTCTACGAAAAAATTTATTATTATTTTATTAGTCTAAATATTCACGTATCATTACCACTATATTTGTGATAAATTATATAATTTTATATATAAAACATAATTATCTATAACGTGTCCCCAACGTGCCCATGTCTTACTTTTTTGAAAAATGTCATTTATGCGAGTCCTTGTCATATCGTGTCCGTGTCCGTGCTTCTTAGGCGAAGTTTATTAAAAAAAAAACATTTTTGTGGTAACAAATCCCACACACTTGACCTCTTTGGACCAAAAAAAAAAAATCTAACCTCCTAGGAGGTTATGACAGAGGTCATCACATGTTTCCCTAAGGAATACAAAAAACTAGAAGCAGTACTTAAGCTACCTAAAGAAAAATGTAACATCCCACTACAATATTTAGAGAAGTAACGCAATATCCTTCTGAATTAGGCGGTCTATTACAAAACAGTCAATCAAGACAAACTCAAGGAATGAATTAGTGCCAAAAAGGAAGGAGAGCAAACATATAAGATTACAAGTCTTCTACTTGTGTCTTCATTCCCATTGGCTGGATTAGAGAGAAGCATTTGAGTTAATTATGTCTTTTAAGATAAACTATTACATGTGACTAGAAAGATGGTCATTTACAATTAGGGGTCCGTTTGGATGTCGTATTAAGAAAAGAGGGATTGTATTAGGGAATACAGGACAATTCTAAATAGATAGATAAAATCGAAGATTAAATAAGAAATAAAGATAATATCAATTCTAGTCAAGCGTTTGTTAAGTACGGTATTAAGAGTTGAATAATAAGTATCAAGTCTAATAAAATATTTAGTTAGGTAATTTATTCAATGGTATTAAATGAGTGCATTAAAATACCCTCAATCATTTCCAACTTGATTCATCATAGTGATCCAATATTTCGCAGGACTATATTAATAGAACCAAAAGCTATGTAAATATTACTTATTATGAATATTTTTAAATAATATTAGAATTAAACAAGCAAGTTTTAATTGTGTAAAAGTGTATTTGGATATATGCATTTGTTTATTATTACCGTCGTTTATCATTATCCATGTGAACGACAAATGAGGTGCATCTTTTACTGGTTGTTCATATTGGGGTTGTTTTTTTGGGGGGGGGGGGGGGGGGGCATCAAGTCATTGTAAAAAAGTTAAGGGTTATTTTGTTATGAAGTCAAGAAGTCTATGTAATTTTTATTAAAATAAATAAAAAAGAATGACACATGAATTTTTCTTAAATTAAGGGTAAAATTATAAAATAACGATATAATACACTTAAGTTGTATTATAAAACCACATCTCCTGGTGGTATTAAAATAGTTCAATAATACGGATAGATTGTATTATAATTATCCATATGTGATACTTATCTAGTTAATTCCACATATAATATAAAATAATTTTTTGCATCCAAATGTAGTATAAACCCATATTAAAGTGTTTTAATCCAATATGACTCTTTAATACACCCTATAATATAACAGCCAAACGACCCCTTAGTGTGCAATTGAGGTCATCATTCAATTTTATTTCTCTAGACTATAGATGGATGGAGACTTTCAATCCTGGTCATTTTGAGCTGCACTTGATATGCTGGATGATTACAGCTCAGATATCAACATCTTTCCTTCAATTCGGTCACTAAAAAGGATCAACAAAATCATCTTCCATCTATTTGGCGTGGACCACATGACTCCTATTATGCCATTGTACTTGGTCCAGGGCCATGTTTTCTATCAATCCAAAAGCTATCGCTTAGTCAACCTTAAGCTTGGTCTCTGATACCAGACACCCCCATATTCACAAGGTTTCCCCTTGTGAGGCCAAAATTTGATCGATTTGGAAATACAGAGGGCAGAAATTGTACAGCTTTAAAAAACAGAGGCTCCCAGTTTGCCCATCACGGTCAATTTTTTCTCGAAAGAATTTTCTGTTTCAACAGCTAAAAATAACAATATGATCAGGCAACCATCAAAGGCATGTAACATCACACTACTTTTGTACGAGTGATAATGCACAAACTATAGGGAATTCTCAAAAATCAACAAACAAGTGCAAAATGACATTATTCTGGCCAAGCTTATCAGTTCTCATGATCAAAACCAAGAAACTAAAAAGTTAATGTGTCCGTTAAAGGAGAGCCAACACTTAGAATCTTCAACTACCTCATGTTCAATATGTCCCAAATTACAAATTAGTTGAACTAATTGGAGAATAAAGATTTAGCCAAATCACAATTACACTTAGGTCACTGATAATTATATTTGTAGTTTTGGCTCAATGTCAATATTCAAATTTTGTAACCAAGATTCTTCCAATTAGACAAGCCATGTGACAGAAGTGAATCAACAACCAATTGTCGCATTCTCAATAGTAAAGTAATCCCTCACCAAAACATTCTGTGACTCAATCCTTCCACAAAACATTCCACGAATTCCTACAAAGAAGTCTACCGACATAGATCCCCAAGTATCCTCGCATATGAGTCATACCATTTAGCTAAAAGAGAAGTATTGAGGGTTTTGCCATGACATGCTTGGAGTAGGCTACCAAAGGAATTATATCATGCAAGAAAATGCCTAGACATACTTAAGTGTTGACAAATTCTTTTCATACTGAAAATTTAAAACTGGAAAAATATGATGAACAAAACTCATAAAACTCATTTTAAAGTAAATGATCTGATATTTAACGACAAATCTTGTTCAATCAGAAAGATGGATATGAATGGCAGCGCGAGGACATAATATACCTGTGGTTTCACTTCAACAATGAATTGACCACTCTTCACTGCAACAGGTTCATTTGCTAGCACACTTTCAAGATGGTCTAGCATCTCCTTTGCCTGGCTGGATCCAAAACCTGGATCTGCATCATAATGGTGCCAAACTAGTGCACTTTCCTTTGTTTCTATGGAAGAACCATCAGTTGCTTCTGTATATAATTTCATTACAGGCTCCGCCATCTGTACCCAACCAAAATCGGTACTCTGTCCGCACATTTCCCATTCCTTATCAGCAGACCACCTAGGTGTACAATTCAATTAGGAGGGCATGTGGCGTGCTAACAATGTCAAAAGCAACAAAGGGTAAATCTATAAAGAAATAAAATACCTCAAGAAGTATCCATGTTCAGCTGCAATACCAAGTTTTTTGCAAGGAGAAAACCACTTGCCAAGGCTATCCCTACCACGTCCACTGACAACAAAAACAGTATTTTTCGTATCACCACAGAGTGCGTTTATAAGTGAGATAACCTGCTGACTGGGGGTCTTGTTGATGGTTGTTTGGGGCATCACAGTGCCATCATAATCGAAGAGTATGGCCCTATTTTTGGCCCTTGAATAAGCAGATACTATTGTGTCAATAGACAACTTTCTAAAATTCGGATCGAGTGCTACCACTCTAAAACCGAAGCTCAAGCCAATTCCCCAACACCGTCGCCTGATATGATCTTTGCAAGTTCTCTCCAGATCTTGGAAGAAGCTTCTGGACCAATATGCCACATCATGAGTACTAACATATCTATAATGGCTTTCATGACGCAACTGCTTTTCAGCATCAGCCATTGATATTGCCTCATTCATTGCTTCAGCAGTTGCTTCAATATTCCATGGGTTGATGCGTATCGCACCACTCAGTGAAGGAGAGCATCCAATGAACTCCGATACCACTAGCATACTCTTCTTCGGACCATTTGATTCTGAACTAGAATCAGATCCGGATATTCCCTGCCTGCATACAACATACTCGTATGGAGTAAGATTCATTCCATCCCTTACAGCAGTTACAATAACACACTCAGCAATAGTGTAGTATGCAACCCGTTCACTGAGAGAAACTGGCCTATCAATGAAGACAATTGGTTCATAACCAGGCTGGCCAAAATTATCATTAACTCGTTTGCAGCTTGCCTGTATATCATCCTGTATTTTCTCAAGATCCTTCCCCCTCCCACGAGCAGGATTTGCAATCTGTATCAATACTGCTCTTCCCTGCCACTTCGGGTGCTGCTTAAGCATCTGCTCCATGGCCAAAAGTTTCAAATCCACTCCTTTGAAGATATCCATATCATCTACCCCGAGCAACACAATCTTCCCTTTGAACTGCTGTTTGAGCTCTTCTACCCTCCACTCTTTATCTGCAAGACTCAACTCTTTCTCGATCTGCCCCATGTGAATTCCAGCTGGCATAATCTTTATCCCAACAGCCCTTCCATAGTATTCCAATCCTATGTAACCCCTCTTCGACTGATATTCCAAACCCAACATCCTGCTACAGCAAGAAAGGAAATGCCGGGCATAGTCAAAGGTGTGGAAGCCAATAAGGTCAGCATTCAATAGTGCTCTGAGAAGCTCTTCTCTCACAGGTATAGTCCTATATAACTCCGATGAGGGAAACGGACTGTGGAGAAAAAACCCCATTCGCAACTTGATGAAACGCCTCCTCAAAAAGGAAGGCAAAACCATTAAATGATAATCATGAATCCAAACATAATCGTCATCTGGATTTATCACCTCAATAACTTTCTGTGAGAAAATCTTATTTGCTGCTACGTACGCCTCCCACAATGACCGATCAAAGCGCCCCCCATCACTCGCAGAAAATGGTAGCATGTAATGGAAACGTGGCCATAAGTGCTGCTTGCAGAAACCATGATAATATTTTTCTAAAATGTCGGGAGGCAGAAAAGCTGGTACACACTTAAACCTATCCAACAAAATCTGTGACACATCATCTTGTTCACTAGAATCAACCTCAACCCTTAACGACCCCACGTAAATAACTTCCATATCATCCGGTAGTCCATCCTTTATGTGCAATAACAAAGAATCCTCATCCCAGCTGAAACTCCACCCTTTATTATCTGGTCTACGCTTAGCTTTTACAGGCAACTGATTAGCCACAATAATTATTCGATCTACGACAAGAGATGAAGGGACATCTGATGAAACACTATTAGCTTGATCATCATCAAGCTCAGATATAATCCCAGGAACAGTCATTACCCTAGGAAGGCGCTTCCTTTCGCGTCCCATCACGGGGAAATTCCCGGATGCAAGATCTAATAAATTTGTATACGATCTAGACATCATCTTTACCGCCTTCTATTACACAAAACACTTCCACAAGACCCCTCTCAATCAAATACCAAACCAAAACAAAGATTACCTTGTTATGTTGAAACCAGGTACAATTATGCTTAACCTGAAATGGGTTGTCACCCAAGATAACAGAATCAACACATTGAATGTCAGTTGAAATCTAAAGATAGCAATAGATCCATGCAATAAAACAGAAACCCTTGACCAAAACAGAGTCAAAACAGATCCATTTTTTTAGCAAGAGATTACCCTACAGGATCCATTCACAGCAAACACACATATACGTACATCATGCAACAGATTATCAGAAAAAAACAGCAAGTTACATTAAATTCATTGAAATGTAGAAATCATACACAGCAAAAAAAAAAAGTGAGAAATGTGGGAAATTTGATACTGACCTCTGTGTGCAATGATTAAAATTGTAGCTTTTTTGGGATCTGGCAGTCCAATTCAAGAACCCTGTTCTTAGTCAGAAAGAAATCTAGGGTCTGGTCTCTCCGTCTCTCTAAAATCTGTATATTTATTTGTTCTCCTCTCACTTTCTCTCTCTAAATTCACTGCTCTATATCTCTATACAATGAATGTTTCTTTGCTTTAAAAGAAAAGGACAAAAAAATAAAGAATAAAAGGAAAATTGGGAAAAAGAAGAAGAGGATAAGGTCGGCCTGTAGCACATGCCAACTGGCATAATCGGTCACGCTCTGTATTGTTAGAAACGGAACACGTGTCAATTCCAGAAAATTCCACGTTTCATACAGAATTTGTTTTGATCCAATGGGACTCGTCCCATGCTCTACACCATTATAGTGCGTTTTAGTATCTTTAGAGGAAAGAAATACTTTTTTTTCCCAGTCTTCTTTGTGTGGTACGTGGATGAAAAGTTTAAAAAATTAATTTTTTATTATTTGTTTTTAAAACAAAAGTGAATAAAAATAAATTTTATTTACCATAATATCCTCACATATAAAACACAATTTTTTCTATTAGAAATACACTTTTCATACTCAAACTGATTTTTCCGACAAAAAAAAATGTACTTTATAATTGGTTTGAATAAAGAGTACTCTCACAAGTTGAAATAATGGATAAAAAATTATTTGTTCAATTAATATTTATTTTGCAATCAGTTACACGTGGCTAATTCCAAGTAAGACTTATCAAATAAGACATTTTACGCACATTTGAAAGGACATCCATTTAGGGGTATAATCGTAAATTAACTCAAATACACTCAAAAAGGCTGCATCCCTACGCTTTCCGCCCAAATTTGGATGGAAAAATTTTGGCGAGCGGAACAGATTCTCCTTCCGCCGATTTTTCCTTTCCTTCACCTTTTTCCTCGAAACCAAACAATAAAAAAGTATTCCTTCCTTTTTATTTTTCACCCACCATTTTTTATCTATCATACCAAACAAACTAAAGAATCTCTAATGTTCTGTTTGATATGGAAAATAAAAAATAAGAATGATAAAAAATAGAAAAGATACATTTTCTGTCATTTAAGGATAGAAAGTAGAAATAATACACTTTCTTTCCTTTATATTTGGTTAGATAGATGAAAAATAAAAATAATTTTTTTTTTGTGTTCGTTAAGATTAGAGGTGACAATCGAGGCGAGTCGTGTCGTGTCATATTCGTATTGAGTTCTTACAGATTTATATCGAATATTAGTTAAACTTAACTTAATTCATTTAACTAATTGTATTATGTCGTGTCAAGTTGCGACTTGACCTGTTTATTTTCGTATCGAGTTCGAGTCGTGTTGAATCGAAAATTTTCACCCATAGTTAAAATGGAAAAAATATATATTTTTTAATTTAAAATTTTACTATTTAAAATATATATATATATATATTACTATTGTATTTTTATATAAAATTAATGTATACATAAGACATATAGACAAATAAGAAACATCTCGACACAAATAATTAACTTTCTATCCTCTTTCCTTCCGATTTTGAAGGGATTGATTTTGGTAAGTTGGAATGAAAGTTAATCCATCCACTTTTCCATCCTTTATACTTTCCTTCCTTACCAAACATAATGTTTTTTTTATCTCTCTAACTTTTCATCCTCCCACTTTTCCATCGTACCAAATGAAGCATAAGTTAATTTTTATACACCTCAATAATATTTTTTCTTTGTCTAGTTAAAGACAAACCATTTATATCGAGATTAGGGTAATCCGACCTTAAAATTGTCAAAGTTCAAATTCAGAAATATTTGATTTTCCAATTTATCCCTATTACCAATTGAAATCCCTTAAAATTTGGGTCCCACAAAATTTTACCAAAATCGATTGGTTTGAAATTAAAAGAGTAAATTGGTAGAATGACCCTTTAAACTATACAGCTTATTTCAATTTAGCTCATACAGTTTGGCCTCAACTCAAGTAAGCCTCGAACTTTTTAGTTTAAGTCAATGTGCACCTTCTATTTAATTTTGTCAAATTTAATAATGACACACGCCTATGTGACTCTAACATAATTAGAGAGACATTTCAAACAATTAACCAAAAATAAAAAAATCTCTCTAGATCAAATTCAGTTTACTCTCTCTCTGACCTATGCTAAAACCCAACCTCCACCTCTTTGCTACCCACCACCACCACAAAAAACACTTATTATCCCGCCGCCTTAATTCACAAGAATGGAGAATAGTTGTGGTGTGTGCAAAGACACATAAAGGATACCGAAATCGAGAAAGAGATTAGTTTTGTCTAATTTACCTAGCCACCACAAAAACATCTATAGAATGTGACTGAAATCGAGAAAGTGCAAATTTGTGGGAGGTAGGTGATCAAATTGAAGCCAACACATGTTTTACCTATTCTAATGTGAATCTGTTCGTATGAGCTCTGAATAGATACATGAATCTATAATATAAAATAAGACATGTTTTAATATATTTATTCGACTGTTTCAAATAGATTAATCAAACGACCATCAATATCCCTCTTAAATTTTCACCATGTCTTCAGACACGAGTTACCTCTAAAAATAAAAACATATGTCTGAATTGCTATTAGAATATATTATTATACCAAAAATTAATTTTTGATCATAAAATCTTGATTTTAATAATTTGTAACTATTGATTTATAAAAATAATAAAATAATAAAATATTTTCATATATAATTTCAAAATAAAATAAAAAATAATGAAGAATCATTTTTTTTTTTGGTAATGAAGTCTAACCTATAGAAATAAGAAAAAGAGAAACTAGGTCGATTCTTTTTAATCAAACATTATTACAAGAGAGAAACGACGATATTTGAATTTACAGTCTTAAGGTTAAACAATAAAACGGTGATTATTAAGCCATCGGTTAACCTCAACCTTGATCAATTCTGTGTTTCAAGGATAATAGAGAAAAATACCTTACTCAATTCAAATAATGCTATTGAAATTTAATTTATTGGCCTAATTCACTGATTTGATTCACTTTAATCCAATGTGTTAGTAAAAAATTTAAAAAAAATTTAAAAAATAAAAGTAAAAAATGGGACTCATATTTTTAGCTCCTACTGGTATTATTCATTCTAAAAGTTTTGGGACCCACATTCTTATTGCCACGTGGCGTACTAGGGGTACATATTGAGCGGATAAGGTGCGTGGGAATAGAAAAAACATAGCAATTTATTACGTCATGGACGACGTCACATGCCGTCTTTCGAGCAGAGTTCGGTCATTGGTGGTTGTTTGGCTGGTAGTGAGAGTATTAACAAGTACCTGGTTGGCCGCAGGCGCACCAAGTTTGTGAACGCGAAATGTCAGTTTCACCCCTGTGATTTTGTTTTATTTTTTATTTTTTTTTATCAAGCGCAATGTTTGATAGAAAGACGACAAAATTCAAACATATAACCTTAAAATCCAATACCGGAGTGGTGACCATTTGACTAAGTATCTCAGGATGTAATATTGAGAAAAAGAGCGTACTAAACCCACTACGTACCACACCATCGGATGGTTTACCCTAATGCCGAGTTTGTTTTTATTGTCAACTCGATATCGTTATCACTTTTGTCTTCTATTGAATTAAGAATAAAAATACGATTCGCAGAGCAAGGTTTGTCTAATTTTTTTACTGGAATTTTCGAATTTTAAACTAAAATAATAAGTGATTGAAGGACCAACGATGATCTCATCCTAAAGAAGGAGTAAGAGGAGCCTAGCCCTCATAGAGGGCTTTGAGACAAACTTATCAATATTCCATACTAGGTTTTTTTTTCCTTTCCTTTGACCGGTGGGGACGGATGCTCCGGTCTTCAATTTGAATTAAGTAGTGCCAACAGACGTGGATGGGAAAGAAGTAGTGGATAAGTTTAGTTCGCAAACTGCCTCCCTCGCCCCCTTCTTAGTCAATAGGCAATACACCTCGAGTAACTATACAAAAACTCTTTTCAGTCTGCAGGGAGATTCTACAGGTGAATTTCGAGATCAAAATAGGTCTTCGATCCGTTCATTCTTTTGAACAGATTTTAGGAGAAGTGGACTAAAACTTGAAGAGAGAGACTCAGAGGGGGGAATTCAACTCATTGTGGCGGGTACTCCTAGTCTCTTAACTTATCCGTGGAAAGAGGCAGATGAAGTGGGTGGTGTTTTGACTCATTGGTGGCCTTCTTTTACCTAACAAGGTGGAGGATTTGGTGGTTTGAGTTATTGAGACATACTAATCACATGGGATTGGTGAAAAACACATGTTAGACTAATAACATATTCTACCAATTATTACAAGAGGGTAACCATTGTTATATTTGTCAAAGGGATGTTTATAGTTTTTGAAAAAGGTCAATTCAAATGATGTTTATTCTATGATTTTATGGATAATGATATCTACTTGTGTAGTGATGAATTTATAGTCTAAAAATGTCATTTGGAATGATATTCTTCAAAAGTATCAGGAGGTAGAAAATTAAATTTTAACTGAAATGGTTTGGAAAATAAAACTTTTAAGAGTATGGGATTGGTGAATAACTCAACCTAACTTCCATATAAGTTTGAAAAAGATACATAGCGATCGTTATTTTAAATAAAAAAATAAAAATTAAAACGTTTCTATAAATTTTGAGATCATATTTTATTGGAATATGAATAGTTGATTTTGAGTAGTTGAGTTGGAGATGTGAAGAAAGCCAACTCCATTTGCTTTTCATTAGTATATAGCCAAAAAAATTACACATAAGATGCACGTGGATAGTTGTTTTCAAGCAAATTGTGAGAGACCCCAAAGAGAGCAATTCCCCCCCCCCCCCCCCCTTTTCTCCCTCTCTATCCTCTCTCTTCCTCTTCCTCTTCCTCTCAATTTTTATTTTATTTTTGTGAAACTATAAATGAACTTTTTGAAAATATAAACATTTACTGATTTCAATTCCAAGTGGGCGTTTTGGTTCACAAAACGTGGGGGTTTGTACGGTGGTGGACCCACCGTGGGGGCAGCTGTCTTTCCTGAATTTTTAAAATTTTTTGGGAAATAAATATAATGTAAAAATTTTTAAAATTTATTAGATATTTGTCCCCACTAAATTTTTTAAAAAGATTTATGGATAGCTATGATATTTTGACAAATATATGAGTCTCATTTATAAATGTCAAAAAATTTCCTTCAAAAGGCTAAATGGCTATGCTATGTGTTAGATTAAATTGTTTTGATTTGGTGATTTAAATAGTTTTAATGTAATTGGTTAAATAATTCCAATACTCAAGTTTAGTTTAATAGAATAACTATAGTTTACATATGTTTCGATTATTTGTTAAAATTCAACTATATATGATTGATCCCAATTTTTTTGTTCAAATTTTTTATTTTGGGTGATTATGTCTTATAGATAACTTAATTATCAGATTTTTTGTTGGCCCTTTTTTTTAGCGCTCATGTATGTGAGTTGTGATTTTAATTGATGTTTTATTGGTGAAACTATATTTTTTGAAGTAATGCTATTAAGACTTAATTTGCTGACCTAATTGGCTATGACATTTGGATTGACTATATGCTCCGTCAAATATTAAAATTTGATATTGAATCAATGGTTCCACTAAAGTCATATCATTATGTCAGTAAATTAGATCAAATTTTTAGGTTCAAATAACATTAATATTTATGAACATTAATAATTTTAATATTCATATAATTTAGGTTGTTCCTAATGAAAAAACATGTCTGGCTCCGCTCCTAAATTTGTATGTTATTATTACACCATGAGGTATGGTGTGCACCTCTTAATAGGTGAAAAAAAGGTATGCTTTTACAACAAAGTTTTGGGGTTTGGTTTTCTAAGTTTAGAAATCTAACTTAGTAATAAAATTTGTGATACGTCTATGGTACCCACAAAAAAAACGTCAATAGCATATTAAAATTGGCAACTCCTTAGGATAGGTTAAGTAGTAATAAAGACAAGTTGTAAATTTAAACGTTTTAAATTTGAATCTTGACAACTCGTTGATGACAGACTATGAGAGATTTATCTCTCATGAATACCCTAATCTTGGCGTTGATGATCTGCCTTTGACTGAATCGAAAAAAGGATTAGTCGAGGTGCACATAAGATTGCCCGACTACCCCTGACAATTGAACCAACGAGAAGAAAAAAAACGTGAAGAGCATATTGACATTGATCAAGAATCGTTGATTTTAATTTGGCTAATTTTTAGTCATTGATTATAAAAATAATATAACAATATAAACTAATTAAAACAAAAAGAGTTTTGACACTTCCTCTTGTTATAAAAACAATATAGTTCACCACTTTTTTCCTTTTCCCAAAGGGTCTTTCTTTTCTTTTCTTGTCTTTTTTCTTTTGTCTTTTTAGCATATTACCTTAACATAGAAACAAAGTAAGAGATTTCATGGTTAGCCTATGCTGGTGCCCATTGGTGGATTTGATTTAAAAGGGCATATGTTTGGGTGTACTTTAAGAGCACTTCAACTTTCCTTTTCAATATTAAATGTCCCTTATGCCTTTGCACATTCTCTGCATATTTCCTATATAGCTAATTAGGTATGACTTTAAAGACAAGTGGTTCAACTTCTTTAAGCAAGTTGGATGCTACACTAAAGCCATACACTTGATTAGGACCCCAACACTCAAAACAAAAAATATAACCCACACCGGTGATCCAGCGATGTGAAGTTAACTTGGGGGCAAGCACCACGAACCACGAACCATGAATTTGGATTTTTTTGTTTGATTGTTGTTGGTGACTCCTAGATTTAATCTCTATAGGTGGTTAGTGGGTAATTATAGGTGTTTGAAGTTTACTTATCGGATATGTTCTCATCGTCAAAGAAAAGTAAACAAAAAAAAAAGAAAAAAATGGACTCCACCTTAAATAGTTACATCAAGATAGATAATAGTTTTATTAGTTAAAGTATATGAGTTGAATTTAACCAGAACAACTCATTTATCTATAGTTTTATTTTTCAGAAGAAGAAATTTTACTGTAAGTTGATGATTCACTAGATCTAGCATTGTCAAATGCAATGATTTTCATGCAGACAATCTGTTCTGTAGTTGCAATATTAGTGGTTTGGAAATTTCTAATAAATGTTCTAGTGCTGTAGTTATGATAAGCTCAAGCCTGTGAGCTCAGGGACGGATCTAAGAATTTAGATACGGGGCAACCTTTAAAAACTGTTAAAAAATTGGGAGGAGAAACCCAATATAGCAAGAACTATTCATAAGTAATACAAACATAGCCAGCTAGATTATCTAAAACTTTAGTGGGTGATCACTGCTTCCTGGTCCTTTCTAGGAATTAAAAGAATGTTTTCTTAAGGTCTAAAAATAATCAGCCCTGAGGAGAAGCTGATCTTAGAGGTATTATTATCTCGAGATCCCAACATCAATCCTACCTTGATTTGCAAATAAAAATGATTTACGAGTGGGTGATTGTGCTCATCCACAGTTTATGGCATGTCCAAGAAACCAAAGGACACATGGTTGGAATTATTATATATGGAACTCACCATTTCAGAAGAATAAGAGAAATCAAGTACAACTACAATTAAGTGAAAGGTTCAATTTTTTTTTTAACAAATACAAACAAATAAGAGACTTGTACAGAAGGGTATCCTTTTCAAAGTGCGACAAAAACAATTGAAACTGTGATGCACATACAGACGCAAAGTTGTAGTTTGGTTGTTTTACTAAGAATTTGGTTACATATGACAATCTCCTTTGTTAGTTCCCATGATATTATTTACATGTTTTTATACATAATTATTTGAACATTGGGATTGTCCAAGAAGCCGAAGAATGAACTTGTAAGGATCTAATCAAGAAGAAGAATCTGATACATTAACATGATGAAGAAAACAATGAACTAGTCATTTTCTGTGAAATAAAAGAATAACTAAAAAACTTCTGCGGAAACAACAAAGCAGTATAAATCATTGGAGATTCTTCCAATGTCAATAACAACATTCATTCAAATTCACTCTGATCTCATCTTTCCTGGAAAATTATCTGGCAGACAGTTTATCTGGCCATCAAAATGTCTACTGATGATAGAACTACTACTACTACTGTGGATTTGGCCATTAGAGTTGTCGGAAAGTGGAAGGATACATACCGATGGATACCTATATTTGGCACAATAGCTGCAATTGCAATGGCTTTTTCAGCCGGTGCAAACAATCTTACAGCTCCGGTTTGTTTTTTCTGACTACTATTATGCACTCAATCTGTTCCTTAGAGAACTGTCAACTGTGTACTTGGCTTGAAACTTGAACTTGCATGACTCAAGCACATGATATTTTCTGTATGTTGAGTTTCTTATCATCTATGGTTGTGCTTTGGGGGTTAATTGGCAGTTCTCAACACCGATTGGGTCAGGGGCACTAACATTTTTGAAGGCCTCGATAATGGCTTGTGTGATCTATGTTCCTGGAGCAGCCTTTGCTAGCCACAGTACTGTCAATGGTCTGTTTTCAGATGTAAGGAAACAAGCACAACTCTTACATTCTTATCAATAATGTTTTACTCTTCTGGGGATAAAATATTCTTACAACAATCATATTACCAATTTGTCAAGCCAATTTAAGAAAATACATGTATAATGAAATGATTTGTCTGAATTGGTGGATAATGTAATGTTAGGGGCTAACGAGTTTCGTCTATTTTTGCAGTTTCTTAAGGAACATCAACCAAGCGAAGGTTTTTTGATGTGGAGTCTTGTAGTAGTTCTCATAACTGCAAGTAATCACTAAATTCCCAATCATTAATTACAGATTTCGTTTGTTTTTGGTCACTAAGATGATCAGGAAAAAAAAGGAAATGTATAGGCGTACAATAAATATTGCCTAGTGTAATCCAAGCCACTATAATTAATATCTTCATAGAAAACTGATTTTTTTTTTAACTTCTGCTTCTAATTAAGTGTGTCACTGGGGACAGCAATGTGGCTTGCACTTGCGACGTACTATGAATTACCTGTCTCATCTCAGCAATCAACACAGGGTGCTGTGTTAGGAACCATGCTTGTTAATGACGGATTTGGCTTCATGCCCTTGTGGAACAAGGTATGACAAAAGGCCATCCATATATGCATAAAATAGTATACCTAGAAGTGCATTGATTTCTGCACAAAAATTTGATATGTTTGGTTAAAGTCTCTTCTATGGTGTCTGCTACAATGTACTTCTTATGCTCAAATGATCGGTCTATTGCAGAATGAAAATCACAATTTTAATGGTGGAGGTCTCCTGCGGATTTTTCTTGAATGGACCGTTGCTCCATTAATTGCCTGTTTCTGTGCTTTTTGCCTCTTCACTGTCATGAAAGCTTCTCTGCTTTGTCATGAAAATGCCGAGAAAAGGATCTTGATTTTTCTCCCTATTTACTATGGAATAGCTGCAGGATTGCTTTGCCTCTTCATCATATTTCAGGTACTTATCTCAAGGTTTATATTTTGAGCATATCGTATTCCAACACAATCAAAATGGGAGATATATACATCCTAATTTGCATAAGGATAGGACTATAATCTTCATTACTTTGACCCCAACCTCAAAGTCGACCAAAAATCAGTTTTTTTATACCCAAAAAACTGTTGTCGTCTAACACAACTGTTTAAAAAAAATAACTTATTTACCAACCAGAACCTGCTAACTAAGATTGTATCATCCCCAGTGAGGAATTTTATAGAGTATATATATAGACCGAACACTGAAGCATTCTGCTTCCATTTACACTAGAAAAGGTGCGGTTTTGGCGATTGCCTAATGCTAATATAAACAACTCATATGGTCATCATTCTCCTGCATTCTTCCATTACTGTTCATATGGTTAATAATGCCACAGAGTATCAAATGGCAGGTCATACCAGTATTTGTAACTGTCTACAGCTGGACCGCCATTGTTGCTATTGCACTGGCCACCTTGATAGGAGCCTTATTAACTCTGGTAATTTATACAGAAAATATCATTTGTTTGGATTTTTATACATATCACAAACCATGTTAACCATTCACATTTGTGTTGTGTTCAAATGGTAGGTTGTTGTGGTTCCCTTAGCTAGACAAAGACTAGATATTGTCAGAAGTCTCCAGGCCATGAAGAAGAAGAATTCTATTGATCAACAGTGCATTGAAATACATGATACAACACATAGCGCTAAAGCCAATAATGGTGAAGAGGAGTTTGAGGAGGCATTGAGGAATTTCATGCAGAGGACAGTCCTTGATACTGTGTACGAAGAAGATGAGAGGAGCTTGGCTTCTACAGAAGCGATTGCAGATAATGAACAAGTTCAATCAATTTCTCAGTCTACCACGGGGAAATCAACTCCATTCAGGAAGCTTCTTGAGTCTACACCAAATCGGTTAGTTCAATCAAGGAACTTTCAGAAGATTGAGAAAACAAGAAGAAGGGAGAATGCCAATAAGCTTTTCAGAGATATTATCAGATCCAGTTTTTTTCCTGTTAAGTCTCCCATCTACTAACACCTTCTTAAGTTTGCTTCTTTAGCAATGGCCATCTTAAACTCTGCTCGGTTGCCAAAACAATAAGTTAAGCTCTTTATTTGCTAAAACTTAGTTTGAAAATAATTTATTGTACAATTCCAAAGCTTTTATGTAATGAACTCTTATGTCATGATTCAACCAAAGAAAACCTAATCCCACTTCAGAGTAATAAGGATTTGTGTTCAGTCTTGTGCTGTTTTCGCGAAGTAGATCATGGAGATGATAATTCCTTTTCCTTTAAATGATAGAACCTACTAATTTGCTCAATTGTCATGTGTTGGCAGGTCATTGACTATGACAGACATACACTTATTCGGCATGCTCTAGCTGAGAAGTTTGATGACTTGGAAGACTTCTTCGGCTTTCCACAGCTTCTAGCTTCATGCATTTTCGCGTAGGTTCATTCTTGTAATTACCAAAAAAAAAATCCGTAGCTTCTAGCCTCAATTTGTACTTTTATTTAGAATCCTGGCTTCTCATGCAGCATCATTATACCATCCCACATATGTGATTAATTCATCTTTGCAGGCTTATTCAATCTGCTAGTGAAGTTGCTGCTCTAGTCAGTCCTATTGGAGCCATTCTTGATGTTTTTACACACAGAACAAAATACTCTGGAAATGGGGAGGATGTGGTAGGTTTAAATATTCTTGTGTCGGTCGGTCTGTTGGATGGCCATTAGTCACATTGTGAAAAATCACAGCATGAAGGAAGCAATGCTGCAATGAGTATACCAGTGAGCATTTGAGCTATTTATCAACTTTTTTTGTTTTTCTGGTTTTTTCCTTGTCAGATACATTCCTTATTTCTCTAATGAGTATTAAATTTTTGTGTCTCACTGTCCATGCTGTGATTTTTCATACTGTGACTGCTCTAAAGTTGAGTCAGTCGAATGAATTTGGAGGGGTGCTAACTGCAGCAAGCTACAAAGCTTATGAGGCTTCAAAAAAATCAAATACATTTATTTAACCATGAAAATGTCATTGACAGGGTTCTTTGGATGTCATTTGGTGGCTTAGAGCAGGAGGAGGACTTAGTGCCTCAATGGGATTCTTTCTATGTGGATGGCGGCTGACTCAGTGCCTCGGTAGCAAGCTGACATATATAAGTAACTCAAGAGGGCTTGTATCTCAATTCTCTACTGTGGCAACAATGATCATGCTGTCTAGAATGAATCTTCCAGTTTCAAGTGTCCACGCTTTTGTCGGTTCTTTAGTAGGAGTTGGCATTGCTGATGAACCTAGGGTAAAATTTCCGTTCCACTTGATCAAAATTTGAACCTGCTAGAGTTCAGTAAACACACAAATGTTGATGCCTAAGCATTCAATATACAAAATGAACATCACTACTATAAAGATTAAAATAAAAAAAAAATGTGGGATAATATATACTTTTTTTACTGAAAAATCTTACTTTGCCTGTTGCAGAATGTAAACTGGAGGCTCTTACTAAAATTCCTGTGTGGGTGGATCTTCACAATAGTATTTTGCTGTGCGGTTGCTTGTGGGATCTACGCTGCATCAATACACTCCCCTGCATATGTAGTGCCCTGATATTGGTAACTGTACCGAATATCCAATGTCACATTAGTTCATTTCTATTGATCTGGTAACACCATTTCTTTTTTCATTTGTTTGCAGATAGTTGATTCATTCATGTTCATGTATAATCCTTGTCCCTCACATTTTTTTTTTTATAAAAAAACCCTGCAATTACAAATCAATAGTGGTTTAAAAGTACACATTGCTTGGACAAACTGAACCATTTCACTCTAAAACTAGGTTATGTGCCTCAATCCTAAACACCCCCTCTTCCCTGATCAATATCGTTTGCATTTACATGAAATTGCACAGATCAAAAGGGACATTATGACTGTTAATTAAACAAGTTCCAAACTTTTGCTTATGAATGCCATATATTGACCTTCACCAAGTGAAGAACATAGGCTTAAAGGCATTAATCCAAGGATGAAATCTGCTAACCAATAGGGCAGAAGGAGCCTGAGAATTGAGATTAGTGACTGATGGGTCAATAATTTTAATCAAAAGCTTGAATTGCCTAGCTAACAAGCAACAATCCTTTTGCTTGCAGCTTCAACTAGGCTGATAATTGAGTTAAGCTACTTAGGTTTGACTTGTTTTGGGCTCAGTTCAGGATTAGGTAGTTTAGAGTTTGAACAATTTTTTTCAAACGAGCTCGACAGATTCAGTTCAATTATCAACCCTAACTTCAACTTTAATACTAATATGATCTTTCATAGTTTACAAAGATTGAGTCACTACAAACACTAGTAAAATCATCAACTTTATGACATTTTCAAAAAAAAAAAACTTTTTGGCTTTCCAAAAGGTGAAACTAATCATCATGAAGGCCTTTTTCTTTCACCTTTTAAGAGGGTCATTTGAACAGTTTCAAGACAAACTGATAGAGCTCGAAGGGACAAATCTAATCAAGGACCAAAATTTAGGGTTTTCACTAGGAGAGACATGTAATCTTTTGTGCTTTTGGCATGAAGTAGGAACAAGCACCTCAATAACTTTTCTATATAGATGTCGGATCTAGCCAGTGAGATTGGTGCAGTAATTTGTAACACTCTGGACCCGCATAATATAATATTACCTGGGTTTCCACAACCTCTCAGCATGTTTTTATTCTTGCATTCTTGAGGTTGTGGCTTATAGACATTGTAGACAGCCACAAGTAAGAAAGAACTTGCTGCATTGATTTTTTTTTTTTCAACTGGCTGCATTGAATGTTACTAGCTTAAAATAAACATACCAACGTGGACCCCTCATTCACATGATGGTTAATAACATTTTTGATTTTTAAAGTATGAATTTTTTTTTAATTTAGTCCCTAAACTATTCGATCCGTGTCACTTTGGTTCTTAATTAGACAATCTATCAAGTTTTTTTTTTTTTGACAGAAGTGACCAAGTGTCATTTTTTAGAAGGTATCACGTGTTCAATATCTGATCATTCCCTTAAAAACTTAACAATCCATCTATTTAGGGACCAAAATGACATGAATTGAATATTTTATGGACAAAATTGATATATTGAGGACTAAAATTATAAAAAATGTATATTTTAAGGATTAAAAGTGGTATTAACTCTCTACCTAATTAACCCAAGTTAGCTTTATTTTGCAATCAGCTCCCTTGTTGGGTTTTTTTTTAGCGGGGGTTTGGGGGGGGGGGGGGGGGGGGACATGTTGCCATTTCTTTTGCAAGTTTAAACTGGCACTTATGATTGGACAATTCAGAGTCAAATTAGAAATTTTAGGGACTACAGTGATATACTTGAATGAAGGAGGATTGGTGTGAGAAGAATTGCCTATTTTATGGACAATCAACCCTAAGGTTCGAGAGTTGGAGTTTACATTGGTGTTTGGTGGTTGACCGCTATATTAGTTTAGTTAAGTTTGTTTTCGAAAGGAGCAACGGGCATGGTCATAAGTCTTATGATCCCACTTGTGAGCACTTATCAAGGTGATTTCTAGGCGTTCTCCTTTATTCCCATCTTTTATTCAACCATCAAAAAAAAAAAAAAACCAATTTTTTGCATAAATAAAGCTACATGGTATATGAAGTGTATTAGAAGGAATACAAATACGAGATTTTTTTCTATGATATGGTATTTTCGATCTGGCACTATATAAATCAACCCTACCATACTCTAGAGTTGAACCAAAAACATAAGTGCATAACCTACTCAATTCCATGGCTACCCTCAATCAACCTTCTTCTAAATTCTTCACCATTACTATGTTGCTAATGTTCATGGCAGTCAACATTTCTGCTGCTCGAGTCCAGCCCCAGCCAATGGAGCTGTAAAAAATGTTTAAAGTTGAAGAGCCATTGGGGTTGCATAAGCTCGATAATCATGTCCTTATGAAGAACCTATTCCCGCCTTCCGGTCCGAGCCATGGGAGTAACATGCAACACCTGGTTGGACGACAAATTATATGTGAACTCTCTTGTATTTTCATATCTTAAACTATTTTAACCTAGATTTAGATGAATTTGCAGTTCAAAAAGAAAAGGGATGTAATTGATTGGCAGAATGTTCATCGGTATGCGAACCTCTGACATTCCTTTTCGCAATTCACTTCACTTACAGTGTACTTAAAAGACGAGCACACACAAACATTATACTTATTATTTGAACATAAATCACAAAATTCATCTAAACGTTTAAGCAGTCGCTCGATATTTTGGCACCACCTACAACCCTATCTTTTTTATTTGAGGCAAATAAACTTAAAAGAAGTCAAAAGAATCATGTGGCATTGACAGATGATGCATTGTGTTTTTATTTACATTGAGTGATATTACAAGTTTCGAGTTTACAAGTTTCAAGGTTTATGTTAGAAAAAGTCAAGGTTTATATTTCAAGTTTCGAGGTTTATATTTCATGTGGCATTACAAATATGATCTCGTGTGATTCATATTATTTAAGAAATAGGGTTATTTTGTGGAGCCCTTGTATTGTTTTGGAAAGGCCACCACTGTATATTAGGGCGGCACTTCTGAGTTAGGTGGCAATTTTGAATAAGACACTACAACACGATTAAAAATTAATATTAAATTGATGGGTTAGGGTTGACTAATTCTTGATACGGACCCAACTCACTTAATCTGTTAACACAAAAAATAACCGGGTCACGTTAGAGTCGAACACAAATAACGTGAATTTGGCAGGATAAACATTTTTAACATGTATATATACTATAAATAAAATGACTGGTCTTTTGTCATTTTTATTATGTACCGATGTAAATTATTGTCGATGAGGAATTTTGTGTTGTTTTATTTGATATTATATAGACTTAAATAAATTTTTAGACTCTGAGAAAATTATGAGTTATAAGTTTGGTTGAGAAGTAACGAGACTTTAGTGCTAGATTTTAATTTATATATTATATATACAGGTCAACACAAACACAACACGATTATACACATGTTAGGTTAGTGTTAGAGCATCTAACACTAATAACTAAATGGAAAACATATGACATGACTCCAACATAATCATCTAACACGACTAAATTATTATCCCTACTTTGGGCTGAATTTTAAGTTAGGTGAAAATACCATGCGACGGCAGATTTAAGGTACATATTAAAATTTAACAATGTAATCTACATGTCATGGGTTGTAGTTACGAAAACAGTCTTTCTATATTAGAATTATGACATTGAATCCTCTCCAAATTCCATAGCGATGGAATACTTCATACACTAGACACTTTTTTTTTTCTCTGAAAGTGCTAACGTAGGAGTTGTCTACAGTAAACCCCCCCCCCCCCCCCCCCCCCCAAAACAAAACAAAAAAAAAAATGGGTACCTTAACTTCATTTATAATTTTTGTGGGTGTTTTTATAATTTCTGTGGATATTTTTCTCACTGTTGTGGTAATTGTTTTTATCACTTTTATGGTAGTGGCGATCGATCCTCTACAAAAGTGATAAATCATCTAAAAAAATGATAAATTTTTTTGTTGTAAAATGACCAAAAAAAAATTATAACAACACCCATTAAAATTATAAAATTTAGAGGTATGCTACCCATTTTTTTTTTTTTCAGTACTGTGGTCTTCTCCGCTAATGTGATGGTGAAATCGTGTCAAACTTGTCCATGATGTCCATATATTCCATGGAAGAACAATAAATGCATATATAGGTAGTCCACATTCTCAGAACATGTCTGTTATAAAATTCTCTGAAGAATATGTCTTCTTGCTGCACAATAATAGCTTAAGAGACATGTGGGTTATAATTTATGGGAAAATAATGTACTGTGATTTGTGTGGTCCAACAAGAAGATCAAATATCATCTAGAAAGTAATTAAAGGAGCCCACATGATCAATTGTAAACACACACAGAGAGAGAGAGAGAGAGAGAGAGAGAGAGAAATCAATGTTGCTGATATTTTATTTTTGAATTATTGATTTGATTTTTTCCCTATCCATAATTAATTATTGTCTCAATTACAAATCAACTCAAAAATAAGGGCAAAAGACTATATCTTCAAACGTTGTGGGCCTTATATCTTCAAACACTGTGGGATCCCATTTTTGTTGTGATTTGTTGCAAAAGAATGAGTAATGTTAGATGGACTTAAAAATTAGATTTGATAATCTCAACCATTGAATAAGTAGTGAGTCCCAATAAATACTGAGACCCACAGTGAAATCAATGATTGAGATTATCAAGTCTAATTTTTAAATCCATGTAACATTATTCCAAAAGAATAGATAAAAATCAACGGCTGAGACTATATTAAACACAAATTAATAGTTTAAGATATAAGGCAAGAAAAGTAACCATTCAAAGAGCAATGCGAAATAAGAAGCATATAGTTCAAGTGGTTTAGGTGTAATTTGCCTAAAGTTCTATCAATTCATAGCAAATAGAAGTTTTCAGTGATATCTGACGGGTCCTGACTCAAAACAGGCCCAAATCATAGATGTTGACGAATAAAGGTTCGGTCACAATTTCAATTGGTCTAAGCTCGTCTTCTTGAGAAACTCAGTCCATCATTAGCGCACATGGAGATGTAGTCATCAGGGACAATCTCGCGAGATTACGAGATAGGGCGAGTTTCTCGAAATCAGTTACAAAATGACACCTCAATCAGAGCCTCTCGGAGCCAATTTCACTTGCCTATAAATTGTAATCTCCACTTATATATGGGGGTATCACACATATCTCAATACACTACATCTATTGAGTAAGAAAATTCTTCGGCCACCGTTGTTATTCCCAATGGATTAAGTCACCAAAATCGAACCACTTTATCTTTGTGTTTACTTGTGTTGAGTCTTCTTCACCTCATGCTTGATTGATTTTGCATAAATATTTTTGTGCATCATCAATACCTTCTAAAAAGTGGTCGTTCTTAAACTGGTTTGCTAATAAACCCTAGGGAAGTTTAAGAGAGATGGGGAGTCCCCGCGGCTGCCGATCGGGGCAGGAATATCCCAGTGAAGAAGCAAGCTTATCCACTCAAAAATTGAAACAATTTAGATCGTTAACGTGTTTTTATAAGTTGAGAATTAAACTTGCGAATTGTAATTACTAATTAATATCCGATAGATGATCCTCTTTATGGCCCTTCAGCGTCAACTCATACAACAAAAGTTAAGAGAATAGCGATAATATAGAAAAGCAACAGACAATATAGTGATGGAGAAAGTTGAGTATGCTAAATGTTCGTCCATCCAAACGGTAAGTCCTGTATTTGAATCCAAAAGTCAACAATGGATCTTTTGTCTAACAGGTCCAAATGTAATTTAGTATAAAACTAATTACCATCGACTTCTTTTTTTTTTTAGTTCAACTATCGGGTTGTTATAATCAATTTACGTATATTTTAATTAAATTTTTTTTTGTTACAGTCAAAGATAGGTCATCCATACCAAAACTAAAAATTACCAAGACTCAAACTCAAGATATCTGAATTTACAATTTATCCTTATTATTGTTTGAATATGATTAGACCATTACCACCGACATCTTTGACACTTAAAGTTAGATTTTTTTTAATAAATGTAATGGTGACACACCACGTCACCATTGAACACGTATTGAAACCTTTAATATTTTGTTGCACTTTTCATTCCTATTAGAAGGAAAAGTCAAAGCATCGGACGGCAAAGCCGGCAGTCTATCGTGGGAAGAAATTGATCACTAAACAAATCATATCCAACCAACATTAACTAATAGAAAATATACAAAAATATTTTCAAACATTATTCATAAAATGGAATGAATGTAATACTAATACAATTGTTTCACTAATATTTCTCAGTCTAAAGGGATCAAATACAACAAAATTATCCCAAGAAATAAACAAAAAAAAATAATATAAACCCTGAGTTTATATACACCCCCCCTTAAGTACAATTCCACCAAAGCAAAAGAATAGTAGAAAATTTCCAAAATTGTAGGGAGAGAAAGGAAAAAAGAAGAAGATGAATACCTAAAATCAAATGCAGAAACTAATGGCCTACTCCAGGGCTTGGGACCGACCGGAGAATCCGATCGACGGCGGCGAGGTGGCGGGCAATGAGCTTTTCATCGACGTTCATGGCATGACCCTTCTTGCTTGGAGTGGAGGATGGTACAGTACCTTTAGGAAGTGCAGTTAGGTACAAACTGTCTAAATTTGGTATCATCTTGTCACTCTGATTTGTGTTCAAGAGCTTTCGGGCATGTAGAGAAGAAACAAAGGAAGCCAATATGAGCAAGGACATAAAGAACACTGTCCTCAAACGAGCCATATGAATTGTAGCAGTGTTTATGTATTGATAATTGGAGACAGAGAGAGAGAAAAAGATTCAGGGTCGTAGGTGTTGGAGCCTTGGGGAGGGGAGATGTAAGGGGGAGTGTTCTATCTTCTATGGGTGTGGTTGTTGCGTAAAAAACTAGATGTACAAGTGCAGGTAGAGAGAGAGAGAGAGAGAGATTCTGGGTTATGGGTGTTGAAGTCTTGGAGAGGAGATATGTAAGGGGGAGTATTCTGTGTCTGAGCTGATGTGTATATAAATACAAGTGAAGAGAGAAAGAGAGAGAGAGAGGGGAGTGGGTATGAAGTTAGTTGGGCTAGGTCAAATCCAAGTTTGTTTTGCCTTTGAAAAAAGAGAGTGATATGGGAATGGGAGAGATTGGTGGAGGTGACAGTCACAGAGAAATAGTCTTCCTGGTGGTGTTTTGTAATGAGATGGGTGGTGTCTAAAGGCCGCGTGGAGGCAGTTAGGTGGGAAAGACAGCAAAGCTGCCGGCCAATGTTTCTTTGTAATTTCATGCAGAGATGGTAAATTGAGTGTGATATGTATTGACTTAATTTATTTAATTAATTCTAATCTGGTTCATTTGTTTATTAACCATTACTAAGTTTAAAATTTTTAATTCTTAACTATTCTTATACTATTAATTCAAAAAAAAAAAAAAATATTCTAGCTAAATTTGTTTTTTTATGTCAAAATTGAGTTAGTCATACTTAATTAATTTATTTTTTTATGTTAACAATGATTTAGTTGGCCTTCTTATAATTGACCTATAGTTGATTTTGGTCTTCTTCATTTCCTTGAATTGTATTTTGATTTAATATATATAGACAAAAATTAGAATATCTTCCTTTTAATTAATATGATCCATTTCCAAGAGAAAAAATATAACAAAATGATCCATCGAGTGTACTCCAAATGTTTACATATTTTAGAATAAACAAGAATCATTTTTTTCATATTTGTGGGATGTGTGCAATTACTTATAAATTGTACGATTTGAATCGACCAAAATAGTTCTTAGGAGACTTAGGGTCTGTCTGGTTTGCGTTTCAAAATATAGTATCTAAAAATAGTTTTTGAAAAGAGTTTTAAGAAAGTGATTTTTATATTTTTTGAGATAAAAAAGTTGTTTGGTTAAATGATTTCAAAAATAATTTTACAATACATAAAATAGTAAAACTTGTTTAGACAGCCTAAATATATATTTGAACAGTAATTCAAAAATTAATAAAAAAATATAAAAAAAATATTTTTAGATTGACAATTTCATAAAAAAAAATTCAATAAAATTAAATAAAAATATATATATATATACCCATATCTAAATATCTAAAATTGTTCTCTTTGTTTCCAAATTTTTCAAAAAAAATTCTGAAAACAAGCTATACTTGTTTTCTATTTTTTTGACTCAAATCTCATTTTTTTTCAAAATTTAGAGAACAAAAATACTAAACAAACAAGTTTTTGGTGTTTTTAAAATTTTGAGAACAAAAAATTTTTTCCAGATCACAAACCAAACATGACCTTAGATTTCGAATCTCTGTTAGTCTGAATCTTGTGCTTTGGCTAATGGTGTTTTTGATAGAATTGATGAAAATATTGAAAGAATGAAAGGAGGAATAATATAAAAAAATCTCTATTCCCTCTTTTGTGTGAGATAAGAAAGATGAAAAGTAAAAAAAACTGATTTTTATTTGTCTGCGTGTGTTTTGAATGGATGAAAGAAAAGAGTACATGAATATTTTACCATTATTAAAATTAATATATACTTAATAATTTATAGATCAACATATATTTTAACGTACAAAATAACTTTTCTTTCACTTTTTCGCCTAATTTTGAATTTTTTTTTTGATGAGCTAGAAAAAAGACTAATCTTTTTAGTTTTCATTTTTTAAAAAATATGTTATTTTATCTATGTACTTTCATCTTTCTAGTTTTTCATTCTATCACTTTCTTTTTTATCGCACGAAACAGACCATGCATTTGCAATGCAACTTTGGGCATTTTGAAACTAGTGTAATTTTTCAATGACCCAAAAACCCAACAATAACATAAATGTTCTCATTAAGCACATAAGTTCCAAGGATCATGAGAAAATTAGATCACCTAGCTAAATGAGTGGCTGAGGACAACAGATATATATATATATATATATATATATATATCCCCTCTTCACTAGGGGTGTTTCAACTACATTTGTATGCTTCAAATTAAGCATTTGCCATGGTAGTGATTTGCATGTGAACCACTAGACCCACTAACATGACTAGTTTTTCATTCAGCCATAACAAGTCTTCATTCATCTAGACGATACGTCTTAATTTTGAGTCTAAGAATTAATGTTTATTAATTAATTATTTCAAACTCTTATATATACAATTCCAAGGGTAATTTAGTAAAAATAAAATTATAAATTTAGATATCTTAAATTTTAAATTATAACTCTCTTGCGAGCAAATCATGAAGGAATCCTCGTGAATTTTTTAGTAATGATTTGTCCTATTTAATTATATTATAGAGAAAATTAGTCTAAATACGTGTAATTCTAGATTATAATTTTTTTTTTTTTTTTGGCATTACGTTATGTCCGTCGTTGGTTAAAAAATGTCCAGCCAAGATACATCTTTGGATTCAATAAGCTTTTACAAAAAAGAGGACGAAGAAGTCAAACCATTTGGTCCCACCAGAGAGTAAAATAGGAACTTGAAACTTTTGAGATGTGATAGAAAGGCATAAAATAATAATATTGTCTGACGTACAATGTTAGAAAAACCATTTTCAAGTTTTCACGGTCACATGCAATGTTCAGTTTAGCTGTCCAAACCCCCCCAAAAAACAAACACAGTCCCTCTCATGGCCGCTGCTTATGGATGTTTGTTCTCCATTTGGTCGTTTTTGCTTTTATGTTGATATCGTTTTCGAGTTCTATGCTTTAATGGCTACCCTAGACTTATCAATAAACTTCGTTTATCCTAATATGATTTGTATATATTTACGTATCTTATATCAGATATGGATATGAATATATATAAATTTGATTCGATAAAAATTTAATATGATTTATATATACATATAATACATATGGATATGTTAATCTTTATTATACATACAATATATATATTTATACATAATATACACATATATGCATATTGATTATTTGTGTTTGATCTGAAAAAAAAAAAATATTTGTTGAAATTTTAATGAAATACCATTGAAGATTGGATCGGGTAATATGACAAGAAGTCCGATTATAACCAGTTGATTATGAATTGATATTTTTTTTATCAGTGGGATAAATGGAACGAATTTTGTAACAAATTTTTTAATCAAATTCGGATTTGGATTGATCCAGATCCGATATAAATTTGATTCGTTGGCAAGCCTAACTACCCCTTAGTATGTATTTCAATATGTTTTTTTATGTTCAATTTTTGAATTTATGATCTTTAAACTACCATCTTGATTAGAGTAGCGGCGAGATACGAATACAAGATTTCTTGGTTTGATTCTATGTAGAATTCTATCTCATCTAAAAACATAAATTGTTAAAAATAGTATAACTTAAGTATTTACATTTTAACATGCTCTCCTCACGTATAGATTAGATTTTAGACTTAGAATGTTAAAATCTATTAAATATTTAGATAATAGTGAAATTCAAACGCAAGACGTTCAATATTTATAAAATATAAATTAGGTCACTCTACAACCAACTGCCGTTTACATAGGGTGATGGTCTCAAAAATGAATTTGGATGATACAAGATCCCCTTTGAAAACTCCAATTCCTATTATAGTCAAGGAAGGTGTTCCACATTGACATTGATCAGTCAATGTGTGTACAATTATATGTGATTATCTTAATTAATACTTTAACTTACAGAATATGCATATCCTACTAGCAATTTTTTTTAAGTTCAAAAGTCTCCTAGGGATTCTTAATCCCTTTTTGTAGATTTAGTTATTTTTGCAATTTTAGAGAGAAAGAGAGAGAGAGGGAGGGGGGTAGACGGGGACTTGACTATCATGTTTTTCATTTTGCACCTTTAATTATTGATTATCAACATTTTATCACGCTAATTATAAATATTGGAAATGCATATTTTACTACACATTTGAACATTTTTCATCCAAAACATGTTATGTTTTATTTTGGAGAAATGTAAAATCAATTCAATTAGTTAAAAGGGCAATGTGAAAAATTACATAGTTGAGGGATAAATTAGATCCGAGGTCCAATGAGGGTGTTAAATGTAATTTTTTATTAATATATCCGCATCCCTCCAAAACTGCCCACAAGGTTATAAGATTTTTTATTAGGAAAAATATCTTGAGCTTTTCGTGTTTACTTTGCAATTATTGAAGTCGGCCATAATGATCCGACGGTGCCGAGTTAAAGGGTCGTCACTCAACTAATAAAAGTTATTCTAGAATAATAGATGGATCATTTGGTGCCATGTTATTGATTGATAAATTACTTGAGTTTTTTTTTTCTTTTAATTATTGTTAATGATTCATGTCTTCTCATATCCTGCATGAACATGCATAGAAGTGTCGTTTAATGTTTAAATGGTCTATTTGGCTGATACAAGTGTACAAATACATCCATTTGACCACACGAGAGGGTGTTTATGCAAAAACTTTGGGCTCAACGCGATTAAATTGTTATGCTACAATACATGACAAGAGTCTAAAGTAAATTTGAAGCAGACACAGTTTAAGTAAAATCGACTTCACAAAGAGGGTTCTGACTTTTGAAGCAAACTCTCTACATTTATGATCAGAATATCATCGAACACCAATTTTAATGGGGAATCTGGTGGTTTATTATAAAAGAAAAGATTTGTAGGCAATTTTAGTCCCGTTTTAAAATGTTGATTCACAGATTTAAACCCGTAACATATTACTGGGTTTGTGATATGATGTTTCCACTTTTTAAATATATTTTATTTTAGAGTAATGTTACATATACTTAAAAAATAAATTTGA